TGCATCTTTTCATCTAACAGACCTGATTACTTGCATTAACAGAAGCTAAAGCCATCAAATCGTGGAATGCCAAGGAGCTACAAAACCCATCATAAAATTAGTCAAAAGTAATTCACTGCAGTATCAGAATCTGAGATCCTGCACTAGGAGAGCTGACCAAGTATCACCCAGGTTGCTAGATGACACGCTCGCATAAGCATACATGAAGTGGCGAGGATGTCTGTGTTTTGTTGCAACATCTGGTATCTCTCCCTGTCAACTTCATGCTTGTGAAACAGGAGATGCTGAAACATGCAAGGACCTCACCATATTTTGAACTTTTAAACTGATAACATATCTTTTAAACTGTCAGTTACTTAATCCACTTACTCCTGCATGTTAGCCACCTTCCTGGTCTGAAAAGACATGTTTAAGGATACTCCTATGCTCAACACTCAGTACGGAGGACATAAAGACTAACACTTTTATGATGTTTAGTGTTTGCATATGACCTTTTTCACCACTTTTCCTCAAAGCTTCTTTATTTTTACTGAAGAGTCTTGATATCTTCAATAAACATTTATGTAAGTAAACTGTAGTCCTTTTAAACATTCTTACTTCTGCCCCATTCCCCAAAATTAGTCATCCTTGAAAACCAGGCCAATGACAAATTAGCAAATATTTGATTAGTGCAGTTCAAAGATCCACTCTTTAAATCGAGATCCACATCTTTAGCTTTGATGAAATTATGTTCTACAACCTATACTTCAACAATGTATAGCCTCGACAATAACTAAAGCTACTCATTCAGGTTACTGATAATACTGGGTTAGCTATTTTATACTAAAGCTAAACAAAATTGTTATTTTTATTTAACTAAATGCTGTCTTACTGTCATCTATTTAAGGGAGAAGCCACTATCAGAGTCTTCAGAGAGGAACTAATTCAAAAGCATTGCCTTAAGTTAAATGTTAGCCATATCTACAACTATAATTGCAAGAAAATGCAGAAGATTTATATTAGCATAGTCAAAAGTTTAAGTGACCCTACTCCCCCGCCTCACCTTCCCAGGAGACTTAAATGAATGCAAGATGCTACATTTTCAGAAAAGCATACCTCAGTCTAAAATATTCATCAAGGTATGCAAAGGAAAAAATTGAGAGACTATTCCAGTACCTGCTATTCTTACGTTGATACTTGGGTCCACTGCACATAAGTTGTTTCCTCATACCTAGGAAGTGGTACAATGAGGAAAAAACATATACTTACTGTAGGCTGAGGCGGTCCTTTGCCACTGCTGCGACCTCTGAAATTAAATACATACATGGGATACGATTAAAAGAACTGCCGAAGCTAGTTAATTTCTTAACAAGTAAGAATTCAAAAACCCATCTTAATTTAGTGTTCAGAATGGAATAAGAGAAAAACAGCACTCCCCTAGAGCAGAATTTGACAACTACAGGGCCCACAGCATTTATCCTTCAAACTACTGACCTACAAGCAAGCAGCACTGGTTAGTAGGCAAGAGGGTTACCTACAATAAGTTAGAGGACAAAATGAAGAAAATACTAAGCCTATGTCATTATAAAAATCCAAAAATATTCTCTCTTAAGCAGAATCCTGTAACTAAAGCAAATTCCAAAACTTACTGGCACACACCACTTTCAGGCCTGATCCCTACTTAGCACAGAGTCCCTTCTTTAGACGAGAGGCTCGGTATATCGTCACTGTCCGTCTGATTAAGGGCCACCCAAATAACCGACCCATGCTGCAAGCTACAGAGGAGCCCTGATTGCAAGGCCCTACCTACAGAGCTTGCTTATCACTACTATCACAACCCAGCAAGTGAAACTAATTCTGTCCGTCCCCTCAAAAACACTATTTTTAATGCAAATCTGTCAGTGTGTAGCACTCGGGACACTTCAAAAAGCTTTTAAATTAACCTGTATGCTCTTAATACCTTGCAAACTGAGATGTAACAGTCTGTGCCCTCCACCTCAGACATTTGAGTCTCAACAGCATCCCTGCAGCTAGCAAGTCTGCAACAGCTACAATTCTTCAACTTCACTGGTGTGCCTTATTTCAAAGTTACTGCCTTGTACCAAGAAGTCCTAGTTTCAAATATTTCTCATAGGGATTTAGATTTGTATTACAATGACTTGTCGTGGTTTAACCCAGCAGGCAGCTAAACACCACACAGCCTTTCGCTCACTCACCCCCCAGTGGGATGGGGGAGAGAATCAGAAAAAAGGTAAAACCCGTGGATTGAGATAAAGACAGTTTAATAGGACAGAAAAGGAAGGGAAAATAATAATAATAATGATAAAAGAATATACAAGTGATGCACAATGCAACTGCTCACCACCTGCTGACCGATGCCCAGCCAGTTCCCAAGCAGTGGGCCATGCCCCCTCCCAGCCAACTCCCCCCAGTTTTTTGATCACTATGACATCACATGGTATGGAACGTCCCTCTGGCCAGTTGGGGTCAGCTGTCCTGGCTGTGCCCCCTCCCTGGCAGGGCAGTATGAGATGCTGAAAAGTCCTTGACTCTGTGTAAGCACTGCTCAGCAACAACTGAAACATCAGTGTGCTATCAACATTATTCTCATGCTAAATCCAAAGTGCAGCGCTATACCAGCTACTAGGAAGAAAATTAACTCTATCCCAGCTGAAACCAGGACACAACTTCAGGAGCGCACACTGTAATGTGAGGCAAAATGAAGTCTTCAGTTCTATTAAAAAAAAAAAAAAAATCAATTTTTTAAATAGACCCTCCTTACAGATGCACAACCATTTAATTAAAGACTCAAAGAATCTACGTTTCAAAATACCCAAACAACACTGAAATCTAAATCCAGCTGAACATCAACTGCATGTAAGTGCTTTTGAAAACACTACGCTGTGGTTGAATACAACCTGGCTCTCAAAACAACATGACCTTATAAATAGGGCTCATGAGTTAGTCAAGAAATCAAAGGAACTTCTCCCAATGAACATAAATATCCCTCCAATAAATTCTGCAGAAATAAACAAGTCCATCAAACAACCATGAAAGGCCTTAATGAGGAAAAAATGAAAAACCACTAAACTATCACCTGACTCGTTTAAGAAAACAAGCTTCTGAAACAGAAGTGTAGTCTCATACAGCCTCACGCACACTGATGACGTTTGCTGATTGGCAATAACTGCAGATTTCAGATGCCTAGCTGACATTTTCAGAATCCTTACAGAATACTATCTTCATGGAAAAAAAACTAATGCAAATAGCCTTTATTTACCTATCAGTCTTAACCCTCCATACAGCAGCATCACAACTTCAGGCTTGCTCTGGAGACAAGCAAGTCTCACCATTTACTAAATCTGCCATTTGTCAAATGGCTACCTATAGCACAGTGCTGAAGCCAGCCCTTCGTGAACCTGGAACATAATTTTTCCATAATATTCAGATCAACGATCCTCTTCTTTCTGAAAGTCATTTCGCCAGATGTGAAACACCCAAATAAAAGAGAGGTACAGTCCAGTTCTGATTTTTCCTTTTATTACAATCAAAAGCGTCAACACCACGGTCTTTCAAAGAACATGGCCGAAGTCAAACAATTTCACCAGTTCCCTCTATTGGTCTCAAAGATTTTAGAAGACGCTCCTTCCTACATCAGCTATAGAAATGGTCAAAAGTGAAAGAGTTTCGTGTCTTTGAAATAGAAAGCACTCCCATTTTTAGTGACAAGTATTCTTAGAACTTAAATAACTGGGTTGCTAGACTGGTCACAAAGTTTGGAGTATTCCCTTTAAGCATCAACCTAAGTGTTCGAGATGTTCCATCTCTTACCACACTTCCAAAACTACTGTTCCTACCCACATTTCTTTAAGAAACAATCTGATTGTGTGCATCCACATTGGCAAGAGGTCCTAACTTCTACATCAGACCAAGAGTTAAGCTAATTGCAGAAATTCTATACACTATTCTGATCTAACAGATCTCTTCACAGACCTGACTTGAGGTTTATATTCCAACAGGTGAAGACTCAAGTTCAAACTACCCTTTGACGCATCTTTGATGCATCACATGAAAAAACCTAGGACTTTTACAAAAGCAGAAAGTAGATGGTCTTTGCCAGAAGTTTACCACAATTTAAAACAGGAGAATAACATTAAGAAATGGGGGTGGGGGAACTAGAAGGGTCAGTAGCAATTTGGCACTGCTACCTAAAACCACATCTTGATTACAGGAAGTATGGTAAATAAAAAAAAAAAATACATTTTGTATTGCAGAAATGTGGTTAAAGGTAAGCCTGGGAGAAGGCACAGCAGCTTGGCAAATCCAACCTGTAAACCCTTCACTTTGGGGTAGCAAAGTCACAAAGTCAGAAAAATGCTGCACCAGACAAAGTAACGACCAAGCAATTAAACTCAGCAGCCAACTCACTGCAGGCCAGCAGTTACATCTTAAGAGTGAAAGTCTCCCTAAGGGCTTAATCCCAAATGCCACACAATAAACATTTTTCCCCAGCAGCAACTTGCAATTTTTTTTTTGTTTTTATGAGCATCTACTATCCTATTCCTCAGCATCCCTCACCTCCCACCCTAATGTTTACATGCCAAGTAGAGGATTTGTATAAGCAAAACAAGGTCAAGCACTTATATTTTTCCAGTTAAGTGAAAACTAATGCAAGGGACACAAGTCTTTCCAGGATACGAAAGAAAGTCTCGGGTTTTCTCTGCAGCAGCATCTTCACTTTGAGACTAAGAAACAAATGCAACCATACTGCAATTAATGTCTAGAGCAGAAGTGCAACTACAGACTGTTGAATTTAACAGAGTGAATAGATGTTTCTGGAGCACTGGCTGACGTTACTACAGTTTTGAAAACAAATTTACAGGATACTCTAAAGAACTTTCATTACAAGTGCAGAGAGCTGGTAAAGCTTTCTTCTAAGGGAGAAATCAGAAGTACGAAGTTTTATTTAAGTGCAGTATTTTTCTATATAAGTCAAATGAATCGAAGCTGTCAAATTAAGATTATACAGGAAGTCCTGCAGAATTGTTTTCTGTAGTTTTTCTCCAACACTGACATTAATAATGTCAACTCCTGTCTTCTTACAAGATGACAGCTTCTGTAGCGTCTGAGTATGTAAGTAACCTGACTGAAGTCTGACCCAGTGCACATCTGTAACCTGTTGATGGACTTAGTCATTGAAGAACCTTCTTCATATACACTGCCATGAATCAGTTGTTAAATTAAAACTTACTCAAAAGCAGGTATATAATATCATACTAAAGTGCATTAACAGCGACAAGGAAAGAGACCCGCAGGTTATCCATTCATTTTGCTCAGCAGTTTAGCATGGCTGCATTAAAACTGACACACACAAAAAATGTTAGAACAAACTGGAAAAACTCTGAATGGCACGTGTGATCGAACCTCCAGAACAGTCACTTCCATTATATCAGAGCACCTCAGCACTCAATATTCCAAATTACTTCTGTCTGAACAGAATGGACACCTCTCTTCTGCCCTTTACTTAAGCCTTTAGTTAGGCTAATAAAAAAGGCTGTCAAGAAAAAAGGAGAGTAGGTAAGAAGTGTTACGTCTCAAAAGCAAGCTACGCAACATGGGATCATTTCAGTTTTAACTTTTTAATGGGTAAAGCCATTTATAAAAGACAGTAACTGACAGTATTCTTAAAGGACTCCTAAGTCCAGTTAGGCAAGAAAGTTACCAAATAAAAAGGAAAAAGGCCTTCTGCCACAATTGTAACTAGACACGTAACCATCCAAAACCCGAGTCTGTGGTGTTTCGCCTTCAGACAAAATAACAATGGGGAAAAATGGAAAACAAAAAAGGATGCAGTGCTTGAAGGAATGCTGGGACAGATGCAACTTTCAATCACAGGACAGCTAACCTTCCTGTGCTTGTATAAGGGCAAAACTGAACTAAAACACAAAAAGTAGATATTAGATGTTTTGACTAGCACCACAGAGCAGGTTTGTGTATGAGGTCTACGTTTTCTCCAATTACAGTTCAACGTGCTACTGGCATCCCCCCTACAGCCCGATTTCCCATCTGCCATATTGCACACACAGTTGCTATTAAACAAACACAGCATTTCATTTAGTGCCTCTTTATAAAAAAAGTATTAATCCTTCTTGTTTGTTTTTCTTGAACACCTTTAAAGATACCTTCATTTGTGATTTTTTCCCCTTATGCAAAAGAAATTAATAAAATCATGACAACAAATACTGGAATGTCTTATTTGTTCACACTAGATTGTGCCTTTTCTAATGTGAAATACATA